GTGGTGCTTTTTGCTTTTTCTCCTCACTAATGTTCCTCATTGCACCCCTTGCCTAACGTTCGGACAAAATAACGCATCAATTCAATCCCGACTAGTGCCTTTAAAGGCGGAAACAGTGTTGCGTCCGTGGCATTTGCCGTAAAAAGCTACCGTATTCAATAAAACTCACGCCACATCATTATCGCATTGTGACTTTTTGCCTTGATATCGCGCCCTCTATGTATAACCATGGTCATGAAGTAGGATTGACCAATTAATTCGGTGAATAGGTAGCTACGACAAGACGACTCGTCCAGGTTTTGAATCTGTGCGCCGCTGGTGCGTGAGCCTCCTGACCGGCATTGCCGTTGTTATCAGATGCCACTCTCCTCCATCCCAATGTGAACAGTTTTTATCCGTGCTCCTTATATCCTGGCCTAGCCCGTTTCGTGGCGCTGCCATTCAGAAACAGCGGACATCGACTTCTCCATCTGCCTGGTGGAGAGACAGTCTGTTCGCTATAGGCAGAGGGTTGTGATCATCTAGCTGCTGCGCTCTATGTCCTTGGTTGAATTGAGCTATAGAGTACTATTATGGAGTGCGACAAGATTCGCTGCTAGCAATTTTGCCTTGCAAGGAGAAAAAACGCTGCACTCCAGTCGAGCAGTTCCTGTACCACAAAGAAAAAAAAACAGCAAAAAATAGATCTCTCTCCGATAAACGAAGCCATCGGTCAATGAAAGCTCACCTTTTGTCCGAAAGCCTTTCTAATCTATCCCATTCTTCCTGATATGTTTCGAACAGCTTCCTTGGATCCCGTCCATACATCTCCTTTTTCTCCTTGAATTTCTTCGGCACTGAACAGCAACTTTGTGAAAGTACTGAGCACAGGCTTCGTTATTTATGGAGCATTACCTCGATCCTCAGGACTCACTGATCGGGAATGTTGACGAGAATTGCTCGTTGATGTGGCTTCATTATCAGCAAGAATAATTGGCACTAACGGAATTGGTTCGACAAGCTGAGAGAGATAAATTTCAACTATGTATAAATTTTGCTTACAAATTATGAAATTATTGATTTAGAGCTCCTTCCCTTAAAGTAACGCTCATCGAGAGCAACAGCGTGGAAATTGCGATTTAGACATTGCCAGCGACCGCGCTGATGTGTAGGCGGGGTTTGTTGAGCCACTCACGCCTTCCCTCGCAGTTTTGGGTCAAGCAGTTCACCAACACTCCCCATTGGTGGTTTGCCAAAAATGCCCTACCTGTGTCAATTTTCACGAATGAACAAGGTAGACACTCCCCCCATCCTCCAGTACCCGATAGTTTCGATAATGTAAATGGTCCTGGCACAACGTGACACTCGCCAACCCGCCTTCAAATATTCTTGCGTCGAATTTTGCCAAAACTTCTGAAGATTACCAAAAAACCCCATTTCATGTCTCCCAAATGTACGATCACACTTTAGCTGAAGCAACTCTTCCCCCCCCCCCACACACACACCAAGAAACACGACCAATCCCGTCTGACCCGGCCAGACAGACGGTTGGCCCATCCACACTGTCAGCGAAAGTGCTACCTCATCGACCGTCACTTTTTGCACTTGGACATTCTAAAACGTAGCCCATACCTGAATATCTTCCAAGGCAGCTGGAGGTTCCACGACTATGACATGAGGTTCTTCGACTTCTTCAGCACTGACTTCCTCCGGCACCTCTATCCGGCAGACTTCCATTGGTGGTTGGAAGACCTGGAGTACAAGATTTTGTAATACAGCAGCAGTGTCATCATCGTCCTCCTTACCAATCAAATTAGGCACGAGTCGGGATCGGCTGATTAATTAGCTTGCTCTTGAAAATTAGACAAGAAGAGCAACAAGGGAGGTTGACCGCGAAAAAAAAAAGCAAAAAACGCCATAGAAAACATTGAAAGTCCCTTGTGAAGTTGGCCGTGCTACGACGGTGAGAAACAGCGCTGCGAGAAGAGAAAAATGCGAGATAGCACGTTGTACGTGAGAAGGCGCGGACGCCAGGCATGGCGCAATTCGATAAGGAATCGCAGACAAGGCAAGGCCTTACCCACGCCTACTCGCACTCTGAGGCCGCGACAGTGTCTGCGCTTGGAAAGCTCTTTCTATTTTTGAGAGGATACTTCTTTGCACCTAATCCTGACCCGATGGCCCGAATCTATTTTAAAATATCACAAGAAGAAAAATAGAAGTACCACATCCCGTGTTGCCGGCTGGGGAAGTACGCAGTGGCATATCATTTCGAAAGTGTATTGCAGACAGGATTCTTTATTATCAAGTCCGGCACACATTTGACCCTGAAATATACTCAGCAATTGGTAATATATTGACACGCTTGAATCTGATCATTGCTTATCTCTACAAATGCGAAATCAAAGCCCATAAGCAAATAATGTGCCATATTGTGGATGTACCCCTTTGTATCCGACAGGCGGGTCTGCAGTGCAGACTCAGCACTATACCATACGGTGTAAAATAATAAATCAACGCAAATCATGTGAGACTGATTATTTCGGAACTACTTGTATCACTTTGTACTATAGGATGTGTAGCCGACGAGATCAGAATGTATGTGGATGTTTTCCAGTGTGATATGCAGAAATGTCTGTACACAGGCTGGTATATGGTTCAGTAGTGTCCAAGTCCTACTCTCGGAAATCTTGGCATTGCGAGAGTTACTTCTAGTGAAGTTTGTTGAGCCACAACCAAGATATTATCAACCTTTTATTCGGCTAACATGTGGCCTTATCGTTTTCATCAGAGCCTGGAAAGTCAGAGATAAGCGCGATTTACCCCCAAGCACCATTTCAAAACCCAAGGAAAAAGTACCATAAACCCAATGCCTTTAGAAAATTAAATTAGCGGTTATTTCCACCAAGTCCAGTCGCTTTCCAAGGGGGTTCAAGTGTTTCGTGATTGTGATGCCTTTCCAGAGACATTCGGTCTATGGGACTTTTCTTTAAGTTTAAAATGGTGCTTAAAGGGGGGAGGGGAGAGTGAATCGCACTTATCTTTAAATTTCAGGCTTTGACGAAGGCGATAAGGCCAGGCAATCATAGCCGAATAAAAGGTTGGTGATATCTTGGTTGCAGCTCATCAAACCTCACTGAAAGTATTTTTACACATGTTTATGTGTTTAGTTAAATATATACTTGTATGACCCGAACAGATATATGCATTAAAAAGCGATCTCACCGGACTGGAAGAAATGGACTGTCTTCAGATGAGCTTGGCTCACTAGGTTCCTTTTCAGGCGAAGGTGGAGACTTCGTTTCGGGTGGCGGACGCTTTTCTTCGAGAAGGTCCTCGTTAGTGTCATGAGGTGGTTCTCGGCCTTCCTACACAAAATAAATGTAGGACACATGGTTTAACTTTATAGTGCGACTTTTCAGATAAGTTCTGCACGAATGGCAATGGCAAGTATTACTCCACATAATTTGCTTACAGCACAGCTCCCACCTTACAGTGTGATCGCAAAAGGACCAATCATGGTGAAGCGTTGCTCTGTTATTTTCCACATTTTTATTCCCTCCTTTCTGAGGGGCATCGCTATGACGCCCGGTTATGTATGCACATATACGTCGCGCGTCGCGCAATGAGCGTTGGAGCGCGTTTGCTGGTCCCAGACCACGAGCAAAGGAGCAGCTGTGTTGTTTAACACGTTCACGACAACGCGTGTTTTGAGCTTTTGCACCGCGTGGGACCAGAGCGATTTTGCAGGTGCCGCCGCTTCACATAAAATCCGTGAATTCTGAGCTTTAACTATGCAAAAACCAGATGCAACAAAATGTTTCGAATGATATTCGATGTATCAAACTTCTCAGAAGGAACAACTGTAAAAGTTCAATCGAATGGACGTTTTCTGGCAATGAAAAGGCAATTTTCAGTAGCTCCTGCTGTAGTGGACCTCAAAATTATTTTTGACTCGGTTGCTCCACTAAAAACTTGTGTCTTGCTATATGTGTAGGTCTATACTTGCTTTTACTACTCTTTTTTATCACCGAGATTGTCAGAATTTAAAGAAAACTAGGAATGAACACAATTGGGAAATTCGTAGGACTTGGAAAACCTTTGCTAAAAAGGAGCATATTCAACCATTCGATGAACCTTGCCGTGTCTAGCCATGTTACGGTGTGGTCTATAGAATAGATGCAAAAAATTAGAAAAGAAGTAGCGCATGCGCGAAAAAATTTAATAATCTGTGTGTGCAGCGCATGCGCTGCACACGGTCCCACACGGTCCTCAAGCTGTGATGCGCATGCGCTGCACAATGTCGTCAACGTGTTAATTATACTGGATGAGCACGGTGCTTTCTAGAAATTACTCGTCAAAAAACATTCGAGCTTCTTTCAGATTCAAAGTTCCGCCATGTTAAAGAATTTGTAATCACATGAAGGTGGCCGCGATTTTCAGTTGCTGTTCTGGAGTATAACGCGCTCCAAGGCCAACGTACACTTTTGAGCAAATACATTTTCTAATTTGCTGTTTGCATGCAGATAGAGTTGTGCATGGCAACTGTCCGTGAGGGGTGCAGTCATATTTGGAATTTTTTGCTTGGTTCTTCGCTCGGCCTCGCTCTAAGGAAATGAACTGTGGAAGTTTCAGTTCTTAGCAAGTTGACTGCGTTTCTTGGTTTTGAAAAAAGATCTCAACCTGAATGGCAATAGTTCGCTCGACAACGTTTTCGAGATCCAAAGCATCAATCATGCCAGGCTCCACACCGCACTTCTTTCCCACAGCATGAAGAAGGTCTCTAACTTTTAACCTGAAATACAAGTCTTACAACTACACTGTACGAATGTTACAGAAAAAATACCGTTAAGTCTCATTAATTATTCCTGAGTTCTGAGTAAATTCGGAGCAGTTGTAAAGGGGCACGAGCGAATTAATCAGACAAACGTTCTTAGTTCAGTTTAAAGAATTATATTTCACTCACGTCTTCCCTCCAAACCAGATTTTAGTCGACGCTGCGTTTTTCATCTTCTTGCCGAGATAGTGCAGTTTTTTCATATATTCCGATCCGACATCTGTAGTGAAAAGAGACCATGTAGGCAGATGTTGCATAAATTTTGGTAAACTTTTGACCATTTGAAATTTATCACAATTTAGGGTGATGAATGAAAAATAGATTGCCGAACTACCTACACTACATATCTCCCTTCTCGTCTTCAATTTCTCGAAACCTCTTCGAGTAGGCGGGGGGGGGTGGATTAGTGAATAGTGGAAACAGGAGATTCCTGCTTCTCTCAAAACACCCTAAAAGTTTCCTAAAGGCACGGGCCGAGATGGAGCTGGTGCGTTTTTTTTTGAAAGTTAGTCAAGAAGTGCGGTGACGATTGTTAGTGGGGAGAAAAAGCGAAGAGTGCCAGAACACATCAAAGTTTCTCATATGAGACTGGCTGTGGTATGGCGGAGAGACACAGCGCTACGAGGAGAGGGAAAACGCAAACGCCACATATGCTGTGATGGATAAGGATGGCAACATTGGCAACGGACAAGACACTGCCCTAGCGCCCTTGCACACGTTTGAGTAGGGAGAGTGTCCCGACTCTTGTGCATCGGAAACCGTTTTCACACTAGAGGAAGGACTGGCTCTTGGCCCCTGATCCCGACCCGTGGCTTGGATGCTGACAGTTCAGTACGAGCTTTTTTCGGCATAGATCAGGACAATCTTCCTTCCCTCCCACCCCTGACGCCGCGCATTCCGATGCAATCCTAAAGACGCACCTGACCTCTGGCAGAATTATGGTGCATCTGGCAGAGTAAGACAAAAGGGCACATACTCGGTGAAATTGTTTGGAAGGTTAAGGAACGTGGGAACTTTTGCTCCTACCGGTTCTAAAGTTTTCAAACATGGTAGTAAGGGGGCGGGGAGGCGCATATCTCAAGTCAGGCACGATTGACACTGCCTTCGCATTACCTCTCGAAACGCGTGTGCTGGGTGTCATCATCGTGGAAGGGGGTGGATGAGTTGTCATGTAGGGATGAAACTCTAGCTTAGGGTTTCGAGATACAGAGTAGAGAACACTGGCCTCCAGTTGGTGTGTATGATTTTGGAGAGGAAGCTTTCTTTTCTTCAAAGAAATTACTGATTGCTGGAGTTATGCCTATAGCAACAACCTAGTCTTCAACTACATGAACAATCGAACAGAAATCAACAAGCCTAACAAATCTTCAACAAACAAATGGGATTGAAAATTACCTATCGCAATTGTCGTTATTGCCAATCCTAAGCACACATAAAGGAAGGTGATAGGTAAAAATGCGACCCTGAAATTCGATAGTCGATTGATGGAAAGCTCAAAGGCAGTGATCACGATGGTTGGGGGGCGGTACGGGTTTGATGACGTCATTGAACATCATTGGTGGAAGCGCTAAGTGGCTACATCAACCAATTCGATTAGGGTCTAGTTCACCAAACGTTGGATGGCTTCAAAACGCACCGCCCTTCAGCTGTCGCGACCACTGTCTTCAAAGTCTCTCGGCTGAAGCACGGGTCACCGAATTTTCAATAATTGTACTAATGACCCTCAGATTGAAACCGCACCTTCATAAGTCGTCATTACTACCACAACTTACCTTGTTGGGACCAGTTGCCCAAAGTCGATTGCAGTAAGGCACAAGAAGTTGAAATATAGGCCGTTAAAGAAGTCAATCTGCAAAAATTTTCCAGATCAATTTTCCCATGGTTTTCCTCCGCTTTTGAATATTTTTTGATATTATATTTTCATCAAATTCTTTCAGCTCACCACTTACTATAGAGTACAATAGAGGATGCCACTGTGTGTTTGAATTCTCTCTAAAGTATGAGCGACTAACTAATTCTTGGCTATAACAAGACCGAAAACTAATCCAACCTTTGATAGTTTATTCCCATAATAGGCTTCATATTTTCAGGGGGGGGGGGGTCAGTTCGAAGCAGGACCTATTGTAGCTGACACTACACCAAGCCAAAGAGAGGGGAGACGTCTCAAGGAGAGCACTAATTATCTTCTCCCAAATCCCCTCCCCTCTTTAGGATTAAGTCCCAAGTGTTGTGAGTCGCTCACTCGCAATCAGTTGAATGCCCCATCCCAACGACATGAGCACCCATATTAATCAAAATCAAGTCAAAATTAATATTGTTTCCCCCTTTGGTTGTCTTTGCTCAAATAAATGTTTTTGAACAAAAGCATCATTATGGTTTTTCTAAGTTCCAATTGGCACAACATTCCAATTTTCGTACAAACTGCTATTAATTTAGTTCCACTTTGATGCACAAAGAGTAACGCCGATAATAGCGCTGTTCTTTCATGACGTTCTATTAAATAAGGTTATAATTAGATTTTGGACAGGATGACGCAGGACGTGAATTGATTTGAGTGCATATTCCCTAAGGAGACTTTGTGTTGTATATAACCCTTCAAAACTGGCTACAAGAATTACCCATATTCGAGAAAACATAGAAAAATGTCGAGAAGCCGAAGAATCAGCCTTGTTTTCCGGTTAGTAGAGATTTTAGAGCGGATCAGGGGCATTCGTGGCGTGTGGCTGATTTCGAGATGTCAGCAATCTCTCCCTCTTGTGTGGGACCCGATACGACTTCCTCCCAGGGTCGGTCCTATCGTTGGTATTTTTTGCAAAATTTTTACGACCCCCTCTTCACAGCCCCTTTTTCCCTGAAAAAACAGTGGGGATCGGGGTATAAGCGCACGCTGAAACGGCAAATTATCTCCCGCGCGCTCTCACATGTAATTTCGCGTTTCCGACACAAGTACGACCCACTCACCACAACCTTCAACAAACTACGACCCCCCCTTAATGTTACTTATAGCAACGTAGGGTTGACCTCCCTCCTTACCACAGGTGCCCTTGGAGAGGTCCCTCGTAGCTCCCTACCTCCAGTTCAGCCAGCATGGCTGTTTCTATAGTATTGTATTTGATTCTCAGACCAGGTGACCCACCCCTCCCCAAATTTTCTTGCAAGAATATGCCGTTGCGAAGGGGAAGTGTAGGAGGGGAATGTATATATGACCGAAGACAACGCAAGGTTTTTCGAGTATTCACGAATTTCTTTAAACATTCGCCTAAATTCCTCCTTAGTCCAACGGGAAGATTCATGGATTGCTTGAATGCATTCACCAAAAGTTGTAGACGGAAAATCACAAGCATTCAAAGCAACAATCCCAAACCAAAGTATCGAGGTGACAGCGGTCGGTAGTGAAGTTATGGATGCGGAGCGGACTGGAAATGGTGAAAGAAGTAAAGCGAAGAGCCGATGAAGCCCTGAACAAACATCGACTTTCTTCCCTTTTGAAATGAAGAAAGGGCGTTCCGGACTAGTTGTCTAAACTTGCTCGCTAATGCTCCACTACCCCGAGCGCGCGTTTTTGCACCGTCATGTCGTAACCCGCGTTGCATGTCATGTGGTGTGCATATGCGCATGGGTGTCATGATATCTCGTCCGTAAATTCACATTGGGCACCGTCAGATCACTTTGTAAGGCCCTAGCGCCATTGTCGCGCACATTAGAGGCGTGACAAGGCACCTGTGACACTCATGGGCTACTCTACAGAACAGATTCTTCGACATGACTTTATCTGGGGTTGATGCTTCAGGTGTTGCATCAAGAGTTTCATCCTTCCTGGAGTGGTTGTTTGTGCTGCTGCATCCCAGCATTAGCATGCAATATTCGAAAATAATAAAATGTGTCGGAGGCACGCGAAAAACCACTGTGTTCTCGACATACTAGAGCAAATTTTCATATTAATTGCTGACTGCTTCATAAATATGGCCGATTACCTGTCCGTTTAACGCTGGCAGAAGAAGAGCTCCCATGGCCACATAAATCAAGAAGGCTATCAATAGAGCTAGCGATGTCACTTGTATAGACGATTCCTGTTAAGAACCAAAAGTAAGGCTCGAGTGGAGTAAATATCACATGAATCAGAAGTAGTAAGTGAATGGAAGCAATATGGTGAGCTGCTTCGTTCAAGGGAGCTAAAGGCAGATGGTACGGCAAATATGTCACATGAAATTGTTCAAAATTGAGAATACGTTTGTCAATTGGGGCGGTGGTGAAGAAAAAGAACCGGGAAAACGCTTGGTGGCCGTAAAATAGGTCCCGTGACCGTTTATTTCCACTTTGGACGAGTTGGCGGCCTACGCACAGCTCGTTTGGACGTGTTACTTCCGACAAACGGCATTATGCCAACGAAGATTGCTTTGCTGATTGCTGCGCACTACGCAGACAAAATAAATGTTCGGCTGCCTGGAGTGAACGCTTTTTCGAAATGAAAATCGAACATTATTGGTGTATTATTAGCGTTATTCTGTTATTATTCAACCATCCGGGGCCAAGCTCCTCGTGATGGTGACGGTCTGCAAGTAAGACCCCGCTAGCTGCTACGGACGAGTACTTCGCCATGCATGCACCCCCTCTTGCTCCCCTAAAGGCCTAGTCTATTTTTAAGTAGGCAGGTTCCCCTCTTCATCATCCAACTTATCGTATTATCTGCCTTTAGAGTAAGCTCTGTTCCCCAATAGTGAAGCCTAGTCATTTTATACGAGTCAGCTGATCTGAATACATTAATAACTCTCATCATCAATCCTCAAACAAAAATGTCAACATTCCCTCCTCCTCCGCGACTTCAGCTATCAGCGGAAGTTACTTATTTTTATTCATGCCTTGATATACTACTTTGAAATAAGTAATTTTCAAATCACTTCGGAAGTTCTACCTTGTACTCCTTTCCGGACAGCGAGGCTCGTGACATCCGCCGTTGTGTGCGATATGCTTCTAGCTAAAATAATAAAGAATAATAAAGAATGAAAATCAGGCGAAGGTGCTCAGAGTTGATGAAACCCTTTCAGAATCGTCTATGCATTCAACCTTAATTCAGGATAGACACTTTGAAGTTGTGATCATTCTAAGAGCGCAACCTATCAAACTGTAAGCAAGATAATTTTTTACGTCAACAGGTTACTTATACCTACTGGAAGACCAACGTTCCTGATTTCTCGAGGCTTTGGCTGGGCCAACAATTCAAACTGACGCATCGCGTACTTCGGTATTTTTCGGCACAAGGGACCACCTCGATTCCGCGAGTGCGACTAGCTCATCTCACGTGTTTTTTTTTGGTTCGCAGGGCATGAAAGGAGCAAATTCATTCATTTCAGCAATGGTCAATATGAAGAAGTCATCTAGGGGTATAGTAATGAAGCTTAGAACCAAAGGACTTGAAACCTACACGTTCGCTGTAGGGGATGTCATAGTATTAGGTTGGACCATAAGTCTTGCAACAAACTGGCTAAATTTTGATTTTAATATTTTTATTACCTTTTTGTTCCATTCATCCAGCGTGATACACATCCTCAATATCTACAACCTATTGCCAACGCACTAGAAGCCGTTCGATGCCTCTATTGTAGATCTCCATTGAAAGCTATTCGATGAAAGATCAGATGTCTATTTTGACATCATGTTGGTTAGGATGAGATTTCTTCTCTACAACGTGGTCTGGAAAGGGAAGCAGGTGCGCGACTTTTGGCAAGAGGTCAGAGCTACGAGGTGGATACGGAAGAACTCTCCGTTCGAGAGTCCTAAAATTTCTCTGGATTTTTTAGCAAGTGGTGGTTCAACGGTGTCATAGAAAAGCAAACTTTGTCTTGCTCTCATTCGTATTGAAAGCGTTGCAATCATGCTGTGTATGGATGATTTCCGCCTTAACTGCGACGTCTACACGGAAGGGTTTCCAACGCTCACTCTTCTCGTATTCCACCAAAAATTCAAGAAGGCCCTACTTAGGCGAGGTTCAACTTTAAAACTTCCAAAGCGTTTAAGCTAGACTATCTCCGCTCGCTTACTTGTTAGCACGCTTTACCATCTCCTCATCTTCGGCAAATGGGATGGATAGTCAGTCAAAGAATCCATAGAGTGAAGGTATCGATGCCATATCGTGTTTGGAGCTGATTCAGGCTCAAGACTTGTGGAGTCCGAACGCTATATTTTCGACTCTTCACAAGTCTTAGGAAATGCCTCACTGATGTATCCTTGTCGTATCGAAAATGCTCTGACAATTGGTCGATAGCCTATCCAGATCTCTTTTCAACAGTGCCAGGTAGAGCATCGTAATTGCCAGTCAAGGGGTAGTTGAAGTACGAATCTCTTCAAATAAAAAGCCAACGCTGAGCAGTGTGAAGCGTCGGTGCACCGTAAATTGAGAGAACGTGCCCCAATCCATCTTTTGGCTAGTCCTTGATGTAGCATGACTTGCGCAACATTCCGAGCAGTACTCGTAAAAATTAGGGGCACGAAGAGCTTTTCGCGAAATCAGTGTAATATTCATAACAACGAGCTGGACGGTTGGCTAAAAATGCAAAGGTGGATGCTACGTCAACAAACATATTGCGGATGTTTCGGAGTTCTCACAAAATTTCTCTATCATTAAATGTCATTTGTTGCGAGACTTATGGACCAACTTAATATATTCGGCTCGTTTGTTCTAGTTACAGCTTATTTCTTGCCACTCACAAAGCTCTGAACTTATTCACGGTACTGTTTATATTTGCATATTCATGCCAACAAGAAGAAATAAAGATGAAACCGGGTGGGAAATTTTGCAAAGCAAATGTATGGAGTATCCGCTGCGGTCAATGTGTTAAAGGCAAGCTTCGGAACAAAATGTTTGTGGCAGAGCATTCAGTACTAAAGCTGGAGGTGGGAGAGTGATCTGGAAAAGAGAAAGAGAGCAAGAAAAACTCCCGATAATGCCCAGAATAAGGATCTCGCAATTTCAGCCGCATCCAGCTTGACATAAAGAAAGGGCGTGTTGGACGAGTTTCGATAATCTAGTTGCAGTTGCTTCAGTGACACTGAACCGCAATGCAACCGCTGGAACTGTGTCCGCTTTTTTTCAAGCTGCATCACGTGGCAATCGACAGAGGAAAGCGGGGCTTGCGGACGGAGGTGTGTATTGCGGGTCCAGCGAGGTTCTAGCGCCTTTGTCGCGCACATTTGAGCAGCAAAGGGCACGACATCAACACTTGCCGCCTACTCACTTGTCTACTACGTTCAGGGATGGAACAGGAAAGCGCGCCTAGCCCCGGAGCGTGCCCTCAAAACTGAATAGTTTTACGCCGAGCTCAAAAGCAGATGCCCATTGGAGGAAAGGGCATTCGACAGTTCATAGAGCAACTCATAAAGACAAATGTCACTGTTGGTACGGGTAACTGCCCCCGAAAACAAAAGTAGATCTGGTAAGTGGTTGAACAGTAATGAAGAGAGCACACCAAACCTAAAGGTCCCCTGGAAACATATTACACGTTGGTCGTATGAGCAGAGCCTGGTGCGCTGCGCCCCTCTCAACGGTTGCCCCTTTATCCTTATAGGGCAAAGATGCTGTAAAAAGTTGAAAGGACGTGGAGCTTGGAATGAGCCAAAGGAAGTGTGGGAAACAAATCACACAGTCAAGAAATGCGAAACAATTTTTCTTCTGATTGAATGGTGGCAGCAAATGGGCTGAAGGTAATGTGAGGCTCAAATGTGCTAAACCATGACTTGAACATCGGCTGAGAATTGTAGCTGGACAACGTCAAAGTTAAAGACGACTTCACCAGCATGGCTCAGTGACCATGGTCAAACACTGTGTTGGCAAAAGTATGGGGTCACCACGAGTTCCCCAGTGTGTCAAGTCAGTTAGCTCTTCACCCAGCTCACTTTCTATCCCTAAAAAAAACACGAAAAATAGGAGTGGGATACGCATGGAGTAGAACTGCTGAAACGGCGAAAACTGCAAAAATTGTAAAAGTCTCCACTTGTCAAAACATGGCGCCAGTTTCACTATTAAGTACCAACTTGTGAGGAATAGCCGCACCCTTTCGAGAATACGAGCTTCACTTTAGAATTTGCATGGGTGGTTGACCCTGCTACAAACTCGTGGAAAGCTTCTTCGACACCATTTTGCACGATATACGCTAACATGCATAGAGCACAGAAATGAATTTAGTTTTTTACGCGATTACAAAACACCAGAAATCATCTCACTGAAGGGTGGAAGATCAGCATTGCCAATGCATTGTACACCATAAATGGCATATACAAAGTGTATGAAAAAAACGCCATTTCGCTAATGGTACACAGAAAACTTTCTGCCGCATAGGGAGCCACTGCTGATAGAATTTTTATGACAAAATATTCATGGGACGTCTCTCATAAGCAGAGGCAGGCCCTCCTTCACTGCCCCACCGCCCTTGAACAATGACGGATATAAGCCTTCCTGGTCGACCATAAGGAAGCCTACCATAATTGCTCCAGCTGACGCTGTTACATAATTGCTCCGATCGGTTTACTGATACAAAGATTCCTAGAGACAGTAGCTCTACCTATGCAAGTTGCCTTCCAACCAGCGCTTCGGAAGGCTTCGTAACCGTCCATGAGGCTTTGTCGAGCTCGAACCATCCACCATGTTCGTATGGCAAGTATTTCTGGGCATTGGGGCAGAACGTTACTACGAAGACTTTGATAGGTTGAAATATGCTCTTCACTTTTCAATAAGGGTCATTCGGTTTGAATTCAGAAACTTGTAATTAATTCCATTTCAATTGTGGAGGGACAGGGACTTTCTTTATTGGCACCCTTGTAAAAGTTTTTCTTGGTAAACATACTCTACACGCTATACGAAGAACAAACATTTACAAGGCGAATTGCGGCCGAAATCAGCTGATAAATAAAAATGTCGAGAATTGCCACCGAACACAATTTGGTGAAATAAGAATCCTTTACGGTAAAGCTGCATTTTTCCGCATATTACTTTAGTGTGACCGCGTGGAAAGGCATT